AAATCTCTACCCTCAACATTACACCACCAGCCTGAACCGTTGATACAGGCCAGGATGGATCCATGCTTTTATGTTGTTTATGCCAAATTCTGAATGTCACAGCAACCAGTCTGCCCATTCTCCTCTGACATCAACAAGGTATTTTCATCCACACAACTGCCACTCACTGGATATTTTCTCTTTTTGAAACCATTCTCTGTAAACCCTAGAGATGGTTGTGCATTAAAATCCCAGTAGGTCAACAGTTTTTGAAAAACCTTTGAGATTGACATCACCTGGTCTTCCCAGACGATGATTGAGAACAATCCATGACACTGGCAGGTCTCAGCTTTGCAAAGGGGGGCAGTGCATACTATAAATTCTGCAGGGTGCCCAAACTTTTGCAGATGCCATTTTTTTGTTTTCTGTTATTTTGAAAGTGTAAATGATGGAAATAAAATCTAACTTTTGTTGACATATTATAACAATGTCTAATCTGTAATTTGATGCCTTTTGGAGATTTTTCCATCTTTCCTTGGCTTCTTTATGCACATTAATACAAATTTTTAGCTGGGGTGCCCAAACTTTCGATCCCCACTGTATCTTTATGACTGAAGCTAAATCTTCCCAGCTCTGATCTCCCCATCTCTCTATTACTGCTTCAAAACCAATAGGCGGAATAACTTTCTGCAATCTACTCAGAATGAAAATGTCATTTCTGGGTGGACTGAACTTTAAAGACTACGTATGTTCTTTCTGGCAAATTTCTACTATTATTATAGAAATGTTTGTGACAATGGAGATGGCCGCTCAGGTTGCTTCACCTATGCCATTTATAAAAGTAAGTGGTCCTCCTATTCATTACCACAACATCACATAACGTTTACCTAATTTATTATTCACTATAAAAGTACCAAATCCAATAAAAACATCTAAAAGATTACGCAGCTCTGTATTTAAATTCCATAAATGTCCTTCCCATATCATACACACCATTACCTCTATGTTGATTGTCTATTCTGGAGAACTGTTTTCCAGTAAAGTTCATTCAATGGTTTAGAGCAGCCACAAATACTTTGTATTTTGTAGAGTCTCACTAATCCCTAAAGAACAATTTGAAATGTGTATAATATTCTCTCAAATTCAATATGACCTTGTTGTTATCATTGGAATTATTTCAAAATTGCATGTTAGGCATCCAGTTTGAATCAGGTGGCTGAAGGCTCTTATACACAATCAGGGATATGTCTCCTAAAACAGGCAAAGTCAGGAGAACAAAACAGTCATACCCATATAGTGGCATATAGCGTACCTGTTCTGCTCAGTATGAGAGTAATTAGCGGTAGCCCTGTAAGTCACCATGTGTGCATTTTATCCTGCATCAGACTTCTTCAGAGGTGGGGCAGTAAGTACATTTATAAACAACAATTATTCCATGAAGTGTTCTTGGCGTTATTGATGGGGATCAATGTAAATGTCTATATTGGGGTTATTGCTGTAGGGGTACATACAGCAAACAGCTCTGTTCAGTATCTCCTTGGCAAATAGCTAGACAGCTGTGTATAATACCATCAAGACCAAAAGCCAGAGAGCTGAGTATGGAACCCCTATGATAAAGAGCCTGCCAGCAGTGTAAAGTATCCCGATGTCAAAAAGTCAGACAGCTATGTACAGTATCCCATGACAAAAAGTCAGTGGGGATAGACCAGATGTGTTTTCTCCTGGGCTCTAGGGCCCAGACCGGTGGCGAGTAGATGGAACCAAAACCAGAAAAAAATGATCACCAGTGTATTTAAAGGTTGTGCAGCTCCAAACAAGGCTGGGGAAGCCCGACCGATACTGCAAAGTGAAACAAAAAAACAAGAAGCGCACCAACCTTGCGCATTACCTCAGTAACCAAATTTCTGAGGAAGAAGGCATGGCCTTCGAAACGCATCAGCTTTACTGAGTGTCTACCCCCATGATGGGATTCACGCTGGCTCCTTATCTCTGAAGTCCCTTCGAGGACTGCATGCCTGATTTTATTTGCTGTTTGTGAGTACCATTCTTCAATTAATAAATTTGGTTACTGAGGTAATGCGCAAGGTTGGTGCGCTTCTTGTTTTTTGTTTCACTTTGCAGAAAAAATCAGTGGGGACCAGGGGCGGACTGACCATTTGGAAACTCGGGCACTGCCCGAGGGCCCAGGGTCAGTAGGGGGCCCCATGAGATGCCCCTGGTACCTTTTTCATAGGCTTTTTTGAGTTTGGGCAAGAACACAGGGGCCCCATGATCCCCTATTGCCCGGGGGCCCCATGAATTGTCAGTCCGCCCCTGGTGGGGGCTTTCAAGTATGCAGTAAGATACCGCATGAGTTATTTTATAAAGTCATGCGATATTTTAGTAGATGAAAACATGCGTTAATGTAACTAGTAATCAGCTGTCAGCGGGTTGCCTGCTGACAGCTGTATGTAAAAATAAGATTTGTTGGCAATAAAAAAATTAAGAAAAAACACAGCATGGGTCCCCCCACCAATCCATACCAGGCCCTTTGGCTCTGGTATGGATTTTGAGGGGAACTCCCATGCCAAAATAAAAAAAAATGGTGTGGGGTCCACCTCAAAATCCATACCAGACCCTTATCTGAGCATGTAGCCCGGCAGGTCAGGAAAGGGACGGCAAGATCGAGTGCTCCCTCCTGAACCACAGCAGGCCACATGCCCTCAACATGGGGGGGCGCTTTGAGGAAGGGGGTCTCCGCCCCCCCCCAAAGCACCTTGCCCCTATGTTGATGGGGACAAAGGCCTCTTCCCCACAACCCTAGCTGGTCTGCAGGCAGGGGGCTTATTGGATTCCCCCAGATCCCCCCCACCATGTGAATGAGTATGGGGTACATGGTACTCCTGCTCATTCACCCAAAAAAAGTGTAGTGCATATAAAACACAGAAGGCAGTTTTTGACAATTCCTTTATTAAAAAAAAAGTACCCTGGTGTAGATCCATTGACAATCACGCACGATGCACGCCCGCCAATGCCACCCCCCCCCCCAAAAAAAAACATAGAGGCTCCATTCCGATGAAGGCTCCCATCATCAAACAGCTCAGCAGCCCGACAGTTCTTAAATAACTAATGGGCAGGGCAGTGATGTCCCTGGGTGCCCCTTAGTTACTTAAGAACTGTCAGGTGGCGGAGCTGTCAGATGGCGGGAGCCTTTGTCGGGAGCACTATCACCAGCAGACCCTCCATCTCCTGGCCACCACCAGTTTCCCAACTGAGTCAGTGTTAACATCCCTACTGCCAAGGCTTTGGCTGTCTAACTGCATCATTAGAAGGTAGTTTTTTTTTTACCAGTCCAGCATTTATAGAAGTAACATTTACCTCCTCACCTAGCTGAGACTTGACCTTTCTTACCCTGGCAAACTTCTTGGGACACATTACAGAACGCAGGTTGCTGGAAACATTTACATGAAATAAATAAGTACATATTCCAGAAGACTAGTAACAGTAAAGAGGCTTTCTTGAAGGAAATACAAATGGCTTCTAGCATTGGTTTCAAAGCAAACAAACAGTTTCATAGCTAGAGTATGTATATCCACCAATGGTTAGGTGCTTGTCAATGTTCATTTACAAAGCCTTCTTTGTTTGTCCCAAGGGGGTAAAACTGTTGTGCCAGGATATGGGGGGAAACAATCCTGTTCCCCACAGTGTTATAGCGTCTACAAGCTATGGTGTATATATACTGGAATTTACGCTGCTATGACACCATCTGTGCACTGGCTGGGAGGTAAACTAACTGACGAACTGACACTGACATCAATAGCGACACTAATACAGTAATCAGTGCTAATACTGTACACTGTCACTGTACTTATGACACTGGCTGGGAGGGGGTTAAGATCTAGAGGCAATCAAAGGGTTAACTGTGTATAATGTGAGTAATGTGTGCTGCTTTTACTTAGCTATATGTAATTTTGTTCTCCCAGCTTTGCAGGGAGAAGAAACAGTCAGATCGTTGTTCACAATACACAGGGTTCTGTGTTTTTTTAAAACACAAAACTCTGTGCGTGATGGGCCACAGGCGATCAGCTGACTTCAGTCCAATCACAGCACGAGTCAGCAGGGGACATGCACATGGAAGAAGAGTCATGACAGGCTCCTGAGTTTTTTATTTTAAAGAAAAAAAGACAATTTTGAAAACCCCCCAATATTTCTGACTTTTTCCTATAAACATTTCCAGTAAATAAAAACAAATTTTGTCATAAATTTAGGCCAAAATACTGTACTAATGACACTGGGCAGGAAGGGGTTAACATCTGGGACACTCAAATGGTTAAACTGTGTGCTGTTTTACATCATGTGCTGTGTGTGTTTTACTAGGGAGACATGCTGCTGTGTATTTCTCTACTGTGCATAGAAATACACAGTAGCATGTCCTTGCTGGCAGGAGAGAGTGTTGTTTACACACAGGTCTCTCCCCAGTCAGCTTTGCCCGATGATTGCCTGGTGCAGGTGGGGAATCTCCAGCCGGGACCTGGTGATTGACATCCTTAGCCGTTAATGCTGGTGCCCCCCACCCGGAAATGCAAATCACGTGTGTGTGTGTGTGTGTGTATGTGTGTATATATATATGTGATTTATATATATACACGTGATTTTGCGCAGCCCTGCAGCAGTACTTCTATTATAGGGAGGCGGGTAAACAGTTAAAAGAGTCCGTTTTGGAGTTACACAGTAATTGTGAGTGAGTACTCACAATTACTTTCTTCTTATACAATATTGTGATGGTCTTTATTATTGCTGCTACAACTCTTTTTTTAATCTTTACTGACTACTACAGAACCGCTATCAGCACTTGTTTGCTGTGGCAGTGGGAGGACTTAGAATTTACACTGAGGCCCTGAATCTAAGATGCTGAAAAAGACTAGGGAGATAATGAGGACAGAAAATGAATGTTAAAAGTTAATTTTCAGTGCTATTACCTAACTTTATTCACCTAGATCAGGTAGTGTTTGTTTCAGCATTTCAAGCGGGCGATAATACTCGACGCATTATTGATATAACTGACATACTTACCGTATAGAGGAGGAAAACCATGAAAAAAAATATTCTGAACCAATGGACTGCAGATATAGTACAGGAGATGACCAGAGACTGCGGATGTACTACAGTACTACAGGAGATGACCAGAGACTGCAGATGTAGTACAGTACAGGAGATGACCAGAGACTGCAGATGTAGTACAGGAGATGACCAGAGACTGCGGACATAGTACAGGAGATGACCAGAGACTGCGGACATAGTACAGGAGATGACCAGAGACTGCAGATGTAGTGCAGGAGATGACCAGAGACTGCGGACACAGTACAGGAGATGACCAGAGACTGCAGACACAGTACAGGAGATGACCAGAGACTGCGGACATAGTAGAGCAGATGACCAGAGATTGTGGACATAGTACAGGAGATGACCAGAGACTGCAGACATAGCACAGGAGATGACCAGAGACTGCGACATAGTACAGGAGATGACCAGAGACTGCAGACATAGTACAGGAGATGACCAGAGACTGCGGACACAGTACAGGAGATGACCAGAGACTGCGGACACAGTACAGGAGATGACCAGAGACTGCGGACACAGTACAGGAGATGACCAGAGACTGCAGACATAGTACAGGAGATGACCAGAGACTGTGGACACAGTACAGGAGATGACAGAGACTGACTACAGGAGATGACCAGAGAATGCGGACATAGTACAGGGATGACCAGAGACTGCGGACATAGTACAGGAGATGACCAGAGATGACATAGTACAGAGGAATGCGGACACATAGTACAGGAGATGACCAGAGACTGCGGACATAGTACAGGAGATGACCAGAGACTGCGGACATAGTACAGGAGATGACCAGAGACTGCGGACATAGTACAGGAGATGACCAGAGACTGCGGACATAGTACAGGAGATGACCAGAGACTGCGGACACAGTACAGGAGATGACCAGAGAATGCGGACATACTACAGGAGATGACCAGAGAATGCGGACATACTACAGGAGATGACCAGAGAATGCGGACACAGTACAGGAGATGGAGATGACCATGAGACTGCGGACATACTACAGGAGATGACCAGAGACTGCGGACATAGTACAGGAGATGACCAGAGACTGCGAACACAGTACAGGAGATGACCAGAGACTGCCGGACACAGTACAGGGATGACCAGAGACTGCGGACACAGTACAGGAGATGACCAGAGACTGCGGACATAGTACAGGAGATGACCAGAGACTGCGGACATAGCACAGGAGATGACCAGAGACTGTGGACACAGTACAGGAGATGACCAGAGACTGCGGACATAGCACAGGAGATGACCAGAGACTGTGGACATAGTACAGGAGATGACCAGAGACTGCAGACATAATATAGAAGATGACCAGACACTGGGGAGCGGGGGGGGGGGGGTGTACCTGAATTGTACAGGACATCCGGCTGTGAAGCTGCAAGCTGTCACAGCCGGGAGCCCACACTAGAGATGATAAGGTGATGAGGACACCGCTGGACCAAGGAACAGGTAGGAATGAGGAGAAGGTTCTGCTTCACAGAAGAGCCGAGCCGCGGCCCGGTATTCTAACACGGTGGCGACGGGGGGGATACCAGGCCGGCTACTCCATATTCGCTCCGTAAGACAAACAGACATTTCCCCCCATTTTATTGGGGGGAAAATGTGCGTCTTATGGAGCGAAAAATACGGTAATCGTACAAAAGATGAAACACTGCTTTTAAGTTTAGATGCTGAAAAGGTGTTTAACCATCTTGGCTGGCTTTTTTTAATGACTACGCTACAACATATGGGCTTTATTAACGCAATTCTACACCTATACTCCACTCCTACTGCCTCCAATAAAATGCCTTTTGTTTCCGCTCCTACATTTGCAATTCGCAATGGTACACACTAGGGGTGTCCCTTGTCCCCACTCCTGTTTCTCCTCTGTATAGAGCCACTGGCGTCAACCATTAGACACTCTCACCTGATATTGCAGGAGTTACAGTACTGGGTAACCAATACAAACTATCCTTATTTGCCTACAATATCTTGTTGGCCCTCATGAAGCCCCAGCTCACTTTACTGAATGTACATAGAGCGCTAGAGATCTTTTCTGCCCTCTCAGTTGAACCTATCAAAAACAGAAGCCTTACCTATTAACATTTCTCCCTCTAACCTCTTGGTCCTACAGTCCTCTTTTGCATATCATTGGAAAACTGATAGACTCAAATATCTAGGAATTTTTTTTAACGCCCAAGGTTCCCCAGCTATATGCCGCAAACTATTGTCCACCATCTAGGGAACTTAAACATACTTTGTTATGTTGGAAGCCACTTCTACTTTCTTGGGTAGATAGAATTACCTCCCTTAAAATTACTTTTTCCAAAATTAATATATCTCTATGAAATGTTACCCATTAAGGTCCCCTTCTCTAAGTTAAAGAACATGAAGCAAGCATTCCTGGATTTCACCAGGGGAAATGGTAGACATAGAGTCTCTAGACAACTACGACTGGGCCATAAATCCCAAGGGGGTTTGATTGTTCCAAACCCTACAAAATATTATTTAGCCAATCAACTACACCATCTGCCCTCTTGGTCTACTTTACGTCCCTGTAATATATGGATGAGGATTGAGCATCTTTGGATAGCTCCAATACATACTAATTAATTGATATGATCCAAAAGGTGAAAGCTGACGATACTCAACTTTTGGCATCTATGCTTCACGCCTTTTCCGCTATCGTGAAATTGTAATTCCCGTATCTGAGAATTGCTTCCCTTTTCTGAACTACAGTCTAAACATGCTTTGCTGTCTCAGGCTTTGTTCTCCTATCTTCAGATACAACACAACATACACACTGATGTTTGTAGACAAGCTCGTGTTTCCCAAATTATCTTCCTTTGAAAGAATATGCCTAGATGGCCCTAAGTGACAACATCTCATTACAGATACAGTTGTGCTCAAATGTTTGCATACCCTGGCAGAAATTGTGACATTTTGGCATTGATATTGAAAATATGACTGATCATGCTAAAAAATGCTCTTTTATTGAAGGATGATGATCATATGAAGCCATTTGTTATCAAATAGTTTTTTGGCTCCTTTTTAAATTATAATGATAACAGAAATCACCCAAATGGCCATGATCAAAAGTTCACATCCCCTGGAATGGTGACACACACGGGTTAAAATGCCAATTAGAGGTTAATGTTCCACATCTGAGGCTTTTTAAATTGAAAATTAGTGTCAGTGTATAACTAGTCAATGAGTTTGTTAGCTCTTACATGGAAGCACTGACTAGGCTAGATACTGAGCTATGGGGATCAGAAAAGAACTGTCAAAAGTCCAGCGTAACAAGGTAATGGAACTTTATAAAGATGGAAAAGGACATAATAAGATGCATGCAGAGCCCTCTCTGTCGGCACGCTAGCCAAGTTGCCCCAGCAGCCCAGCATCTGATAACGGCACACATGCTCAGAAAGGAGTAGGGGCTATAGGATCGCACATGCCTCTGACTGCAGGGAGGGGTGATCGATTACCCAGCTAGAGAACTGCAGAGAAAGGAGAGAGCTGGGAGCAGAGAGTGGAGAGGATGGAGCTCAAACCAGAGGGACCATCCTCCATTTGATCCGGGGAGGAGGGTTCGGTGATTGGTGACAGTACAGTGTAAGGCTGCAGTGTCCGTGTCCCCGGGATGTGACATCCTCCTCACCTGCAGCCTCCAATGTCTCTCTGATCACCCTGCCGGGGCCCCGGGCCATCTTCCATTATCAGTCCTGACAAAGTGCCAGGACTGTGGTGTCCCCGTACATGGTCGGAGCCGGGAAGCTGAATATTCAGCCCTCCGTCTGATCGGTGACAGACACATCCTGAGGACGGTGGAGTGGTAAAGTTTATGGGATCATAGACATGGGCCCCCAGTGCCGCATGATAGCCCTGCTGAAATCCGACTATCCCCTGCACTTTGCTGAGACACTTCTGAGCCCACTCTGGTGATGTCATTGGTGCCTCTCCAACCTGCAAGGTGAGCATAGTGCTGCTGATGACATCATCCCAAATGAAAACTTTTACCTTTCAATAAAAAGCTGTTTGTATCATTGAAAGCTCTGTTGTTTTGTTTTTCTTTTAAGACAAAATATGTTAATGTATAAGTAGTTTTTTTTTTTAAACTAAAACCTCAGTATTCAGGTTTAATTGCAGTGTTGGTATTTTGCAATACATATGTGGCTTTTGGGTTGCAGTTTGGGCACTCGGCCTCAAAAAGGTTCACCATCACTGATCTAGACAAATGTATCCATGGTGTTTCCAATCTGGAATATTTGACTGCTCGCTTAAATAATAAGCATTCATGATTTAACATGGTCTGGTGTTCTTGGAACCTTTTGGAACCACGATCATACCCTTCACACCTCGTTATGGAGCTTTGACCCATACAGGGTTAGCTGAGGGTGCCCGTTGAGGTGAACACTACCGTTATCTTCTTTTGCTTCTTCTCTCATTTCTTTCTCCTTTTCTTTACTCTTTTTGTGATTTAGTTGGGGCAGCTACAATATTTGATTTATCTTGGGTTTTGTTGACTTTCTTTTACAAAAGAGCCGTCATATGTTGATAGTTTCTTATTTGTTTTTTGTTTTTTTTCCTTGTAGTATAGTCTTCTTTATCATACCACTACTATGTGATTTGATATGTGTATTTCACATAACTGGGTTGTTCTCTCTGGGTTAGAATCAGTCCTTTAGACAATCCTGTGGACACTGTTACCTGCTTTGTGCTCTTTTGTTGGTAGATATGTTGCCTTACTCACTACTTTTAGAAGGATGTATTTTTTCATGGCGTGTTTTGTCGTTTTTTTGTCATTCCTTGTCTATTTTATGACAAATGTTTTAAATATATATATATATTTTTTTTTTTTTCAAAGTTAGTTTTCTAAACTAAACAAATACAATGGTGTTGCTCTAATATCAGTAGTAATAAGAACACAATAATTCGAAGAGTGGGGAGAGAAATAAAAAATAACCCCAAACCAAAGTTGATTGTATAAAGGCTTGAATCCAGACCTAATTAGATGCAATATGAACTGTGACAACTTGAGTAATAATCAGCAAGTGAACATAAATAATACATAAAAATGTCCTGAACCCAGACCAAACTAAGTGCAATATAGATTGTAATGAAATACAACGTGAACAATAGTCACCAAGTGAACATAAATGATGTATTCAACATAATCGGACTAACACGTCCTAAATAAAAGTGCACAAAAACACAGTGCAAAGAAAACTGTGCCAAAATCAAATGGCAAAAAATATGTGCAAAACTAATCATACAAAGTGCATGAAACTATAAACGCATGAAACTATAAATGCATCATAAATAATACATAAAAATGTAAAGGCCTGAAACCAGACCAAACTAAGTGCAATATGGATTGTGATGAATACAACTTGCACAATAATCAACAAGTGAACATAAATTATGTATTCAACATAATAGGACTAACACGTCCTAAATAAAAGGGCACAAAAAGCTCAGTGCAAAGAAAACTGTGACAAAATCAAAAAGCAAAAAAAATATGTGCAAAACTAATCTTATAAGGTGCATGAAACTAAAAATGTGTCAATAAGCACAAAAAATAATTAAAGCAACCGGACATATAACAAATAATGAGTGACCATCAAAATAAACATAAGTGATCACTTTAATGGAGAAAGACTGAGAATTTTGAAAAAAAAAAAAAACTATATTTTTTACTTTTTGCTATAAAACATATCCAGTAGCCAAAATGTATTCTGCTACATGTCTTTGCAAAAAAAATCCCAATACATAAATTAATTGGTTTACGTGAAAGTTATAGCATCTACAAATGGCGGTATAGATACTGGAATTTTGATTTTTTTTATACTAGTAATGGCGGCGATCAGCGACTTATAGCGTGACA